CAATTCATCAAAATGGATCTCCCTTTAGAGATTCATATGTAAATTGGACTCTGCCAGGAAGCATCAAACAGGTCCTTTTGTGTAATGACACCAACATTTTGAATTGTTAAAGTGTTCTCATTGAATAGATTCTGGGTTATACTAATTATTTGTCAGTTACTTAATTATTTGGACATAAGTAATGAATCAATGTCATTTTGGGAAAAAACTGCTTCTTGTCCTCAAAAAAGAGATGAGAAGTTACTGTAATTATGCCTGATTTTACTAAGTTAAAAGTGGAGCAGAAAGCCCCAATTTATACTCAAATGACTGAAAACACATCCATTATCCATTTTCTTCCTTTTTTGGAAAAAAGCTAACTATGTTGAATTGCACTGCATTCTTTGAGTTATTCTTAGAAGACCAGTGTTCACGGAGATGGTTAACCTCTGCTATTCACATGGCCACTGTGAGTTCTCTATGCTTTAGTGATAATACTGTTCTCACCATCAGATTTATTTGCTAACAGAGGTTCTTCTCAATGACACATGCTCAGGGAATATTTGTGACAGTGACTCTGATGAAGAACAGCTGGCTCAGATGACATTATAAATGATCAAATATTTTCACCAACTCACCTTGAGAAAAATCAGTCGAATTTCAATAGACACATTTCGACAAGAAAACACTTTTACATTATCAGGCTTTCTTGCTTGGGCTAAGAGGAAACACTTTTATAATGTGCATACTATTATGCCCACTTTTATAACGGGTAACTATTTAATAAAAATAATTTTAACATATATCGTAAAATTGAGTTTTTCTTGGGCCTAAAACTGCACTGGAATACCTTCATTTTAGTACACATAATCTGAAGAACACTGAGTATTCTAAAGACTGAAATATATAGTTTCTCAAAAAAAGCACCAGTTGTGGCAGGATTAAAAGAACAGGTTTCATCTCTTTTTTGTTTAAACAGGCAACTGATAGGACTTCCTTGTATCTTTTATTCTGGAAATAATGGCCTCAGATACTAAATGTTAAACGAAAATTAAAATAAATAAATCAAATGGGTCAGATATAACCAGCAAGTTCTATACAAAAAGAACATTTGTTACCACAAATGTATTTCAAGGAAATCATTAAAAATTACATTTTTGAGTTCTAAAGGAATGACAAGCCTTTTTTAGAGATAGAGACGCCCGGAAATTCCTATAGTGAAAATGCTGGTTCAATTTTTTGCCAATACATATAATAATGCCTTATTTTTTTTTGAAGTCCTAACCCCATCCCATTCGTCTTACTGGTCTTCAGTTTCCGTTTCCCTACTTAAGGCAGCTGATAACCAGAGAATGAGTAAACTGAAGGGGCCACAGAGGTGACCTGATCTCCCTCACCACACCTCCAAGGGGAGCAGTGTGTGGGGCCTGTGGCAGTTTCCTGAAAGATGAGGGGACCTGACTCTGCCAGCTCGCAGAGCCTGGTCTCAACCCAGCACCGGCTGCTCAAGACAGAACACAGGCCCTGAGTCGTGGATCCCCATCTGCGCTCTCTCTCCACCCTGTGACGTGGGAAAAGACACAGCTCTCCACACCTTAACAACAGGACCACAATACCTCTGAGTGGCTGTGAGAACAAGATGGCACAACATGCAAGATGGTACCTCATGGAGAGCAGTTTCTCATTAAATGTTACATCCTTCTTGAAAAGTTCATTCTTACGCTCAGATCAGATTTATAATACGTGATTCTGTGATTTTCAGGAGTTACACAGAATCAGCCTTCCACCTCTGTAATCTGCAACTGCCCTCCTAACCCTAGAAGATGAGAATGATGAAGGGACAATCTTTTTTCAATGCCAGCTATCATATTCTTCCCATGGAATGATTACAGCAATTGGCTTGGAAAAGATCAATGGCAGCCTTCATTGAGAAAACTTACCAGGTCTCTGTGCAGGGTTGTCTAGTCCAGTAAACATTCACTGAGAGCTTACAACGTGCCAGGGAGACTACGAACTGACTAAGATCCATGAAGCTTTTCCTGGGAAGTCGACTATCTTCTGAGAAACAGACATATACTAAGTGAAGACTGCACAACACTGCTAACAAGTTAGATATAAACTGCCAAGAGATGAAAATCAACAAGGAGTTTGGGGTGGGTCCCCCATAGGTGGAAATTAAAAAAACTCAGTCTTGAGAATGTTGATTCTTTCCACAAATATTTATTAAGGACTAACTATGTGCTGGCCATCATACTAGGTGCTGAGAATACAAATGATATTCTGATGCTGAAGTTGAAACTCTAATACTTTGGCCACCTAATGCGAAGAACTGACTCACTGGAAAAGACCCTGATGCTGGGAAAGATTGAAGGCGGGAGGAGAAGGGGACAGCAGAGGATGAGATGGTTGGATGGCATCACCGACTTGATGGAATGAGTTTGAGCAGGCTCTGGCAGACAGTGAAGGACAGGGAAGCCTGGTGTGCTAGAGTCCATAGGGGAGCAAAGAGTGACTCAGTCACAACTGAGTGACTGAACTGAACTGAGAATATAAAGGTGTGAACAGGGTGTGTATGTTGGGGGGGGAATCCCTACTCTCATGGGATTTAGAGTCTAATTTATGATTATTCCATCAATGGAGTAATTATTTTAGTATACTCTAAGGAGACCACTTTCAAGTTTCCCACTTGTCACAGAATGAATACCCACTTGGGAGGTTATAGAATCCAGCTTTTCTAAGTTGGATATTCTGTAGTATACCCACCTGATCGAAAATCCTAGAAATAAGCAAACAAACAAACAAAAAAGAATACTTTCCCCCTTCCCATGCTGCAAAGCTAAGCAGCCAGTGTAAGTAACCTTTAGAATCTCAAAAGGTTAAGACCAATGGCCAATTATATCCAGGACCACCAGCGTGGCCATCTGCTCTCTAAAGGCCACTCTGTGGTCAGGTGGCATAAGGAAGGCCCTGGGTGGGAAATGCAGCCTCGGGAATTACACTGAATGTCTGGGGAAAGCCAGGCCTGAGTGTGGGCTCGCCCAATGAAGGCTCCATCCTCCTTCAGAGCCTCCACCCTCATCTGCTCCTGAAAGGACACGGGGGTTCCTCTGGGGAGGCCACCATCCCCTCCCTGTTGCAGTGGATAGGAACACGGGTTATTAACAAAATACTTTGCAAGTCAATTGTTTTAGTGCTTTTCCTGTCATTTATCAACAAATAGCAGAATTAAGCTTAGAAAACCAAGTGCCTTGAATTTCTTTCCCTTTTGCTCCCCTAAACTTTAATCTTTCAAGAAATTTCTACTTGTATTCATCTAATTTCACTCCAGACTCACTACAGTAAACACTGAGACACACACACGTGCGTCTGGTTCACACTGTAGGAATTCGATCCATCTCGTTGAGTAGAAAGATGAATTAATATATGGAAAGAAGGCACTAGGTCTTTCTGAAACAGGCAGATTGTGAAGCCAACAAAGCTAAGTCCCCTCCCAACTCATCCCATGTCACGGCACAGCGGGGTCAGGATCCACACAACGGCCTGATGATGATGAAGATGCCATCCAGCACGTCCACAGCAGCCAAGCCTACGAGAACTCCCGGGAAGCTGAGGTGGAAAAGAGCAGACACCAGGCTACCTCAAAGGAATTTTAAAACATTTGCTTCCTTTCACAACAGTCTCTGCCACCCTCACAAGACTCAGCCCTTGTGGATGAGTGTGAGGCCCAACTGCCAGTTTGGTAAGAAGACTAGCAAACAGGATCACATCCAACTGTAAGGAACACAGAGATGAGACAGAGGCCCGTCCTTCCCCAACTGAATAGCCAAGTGGTGAAACTGTCCATAATGAATTCATGTTTAAAATATACTTCACTGAGCTCCCAGTGTGCCGTCTCTGCTGAGCATGAGGGGGCACAGCTCTCGGCCCTAACCCTCAGCACCCAGTCCAGCCGGGAAGCTATGGGGACACCCAGCAGGTAGGCTCCAGTAACAGCTGACCCGAATCTGCAAGGACAGGAAACGCTCCGAGGACGGACAGGAGCTCTCAAGGCAGAGGCCGCTGCGTGAGCAGAGCGCTGGAAGCCTAAGAGGACTCAGTACACTTAAGGAACCACCAGAAGTTCAGGATGACCAGGACAAGGGCTCAGGTCTTTCCAGCGGCTGCAGATGACACGAAGACGTTGTCTGTGGCCCAGGGATTATGTCAGACTTCCAGAAACTGTGCAAAGAGGTGCTGAGCTCCAAGCAGGAGACCTCAATTAAGGGAAACGTGGAAATCTAGTGCTTTGGGAACTGGAGGACTGGCACTGCTTCCCTTTCTTTGACAACAGTTGATATAATCTTCCTTTAACATTAATACTTTCAATGACTAATATGACACATCTATCCAGTACTTATTTTCCTCCTTTATGTTAAAATAGAAAGTCATAGAAAGAATCCCAGGGGTTCTATATTCTTGTTAAAGAAACCAATGCTCCCACCCCCTGCTGCCCATTTTCCATGGATGTATTTTCTTTCTTTTATGTTAAGTAAGTCTGTGGACCGTATCAAAGAATTACTGAATGATAAATGGAAAAACTGATTTGCATTAATTAAAAAAACTAGAAACTTTTATTTTCTTCACTGAAAAAGAATTTCCACTAAGAATCCATATTCAGCAGCAGAGCCTGAGAGGAAACACTTAATGGTAAAAACAACTTGTTATATGCAGGCAATTATTTTTTAAAGGACTGAATCACTCAGAGGCAACCTGTAGTGGATGAATGCTGTGTCACATGCCTGTGTGACAGCTTGCCAGCACGTCTCCTCGGTCCTAGGCTTGAGCCTCCCAACCACCCAAATTCACCTTCATAGTTATTTGACAAAGGAGATTATTTCTTTCACATTTTCTGTGTCTCTGATACCAAGTACTTATTTAGCACTCAGTAAATGCTAAAGAGCTCAATTTGAGCAGGGTGAGGGATACTGGTCACCACGCCTGACACTGTCTGCATCACAGGGCATCAAAGCACCTTCACTTACATAGTCTCCATAGGTCTCCTGCGTCGGGGGTGGCGGCGGAGGTCTGTACCCAGTTGGGGGCACTCCTCGTGCTCTGGGAGTGAGTAGTCCTCTTCCGCGACTCACTGGCCCTCGGGTGGAGAGGACGCCCCTGGAAGCTGGCGTCCCCCGTGGTACCCCGACTCCCACCGGCCGGGCTGAGACTCCTCCCCTGCCCCTACAAGCAAGAAGGTCACATTAAGAATTTGCATGGTGTTCTCCAGTATTCCAGTGTTCACATGCACTAACACCTCATGAAAATCAATGTTTCATAAATCTGTAAAAAGTAATAAGGACACTATATGCAAAGAAAAAACTAAAGCAAGTCAGGAACAGATTATCTACCTAAAGAAAGGAACTTCAATCATTCAAGCACCTAGTCCAGTGATAATAAACATGGTAACATCAAAGAAGCCCCAGCACTGGTTCCTGTTTGGGACTGAGAACAGGAAGCTGACATCCGGGGAGGCTGCATCCCCTGGGGCCATCACGCCCCACCAGAGTCTCAGCCAGTCCTCACTCCAACACTGCGACCCGGGCCTTAGTAGCCCGTCTATGGACAAGAAAACAGAGCCCTGCAGGGATCTTACGGCTGGCTGAGAACACACAGACGGCAAACCCAGGACCAAAATACACACCAGATTCCAGGAGAGAGGGAACAGAATGGACTTTCTCAAATAACATATCTACTACACAGGATGGAAAGCACAGTTCTCAAGTGAAAGAAACATATATTTTCTGAAGTAGAATGCAACATATTCATGTATTTCTAACATAAATATGAGACTTCAAGTCAAGAGAAGAAGGAAGGAGGCAGCTAAAACCCGAGCAAGCGTGCCAGTCCTATGGAGAAATGAGGACAGACATTAGCTCTACTGGAAAATGCAGGCCCAGTCAGGCCTGCCTCCCGCGGACCACGTCCTGCAGACAAGAGCAGAGCAGCCGATGCGGCTGCCTGTGCACCAGTTCTCTCCTTCTTCTTTAGTTTGACTGGAATGGTGAATACACAGCTGAAAATGCAAATTTCACAAAAAACGGAGAAAATTAACGAAACCAAAAGCCAGCTCTTTGAAAGGATCAATAAAATTAATAAATCTCTAGACAGGCTAAACAAGGAAAAACAATATCAGAAAAGACAGAGGGGGTCACACTACTGGTATCTCAAGGACATTAAAGATAAAAACAGGAAGATTATGGACAACTCTAGGCCCACATATTTGTTAATTTAGATGAACTGGACTAATTCCTCAAAATACACAAATGACCAAATCTCACAAGAAGAGAATTAAATAATCTTATATTTATTAAAGAAATTTAATTGATAATAATCTTTCAAAAACGAAAGCATCAGATCCAGAGGATTCACTGGAAAACCTATCAAATACTGAGAAGAAAATTATATCAGTCTTCCACATTCTCTACCAGGAAGTAAAATCAGAGGGGACCTCTCCCAACACGTTCCCCGCGGCTGGTCCTTGGAAATGCCTCCTGAAAGTTACTTCTGCATTACAGGCTGGGCCTGGCCTGGGCCACCAGGGATTACAGAAGTGGCCGGCCCCAACCTGGCCTTGAGCCCTCATGGGGACCTATCACAGGAGCTGTCTCCCAAGGTTTTTTTTCTAAGTCCACCTGTGGGAGCCACGACTGGGCTAGGTGATCTCTGACCTCCCAAGGAAGAGATATGTGGTCCAAGGAGAAACAAAAGACATTAAAGATACTATAAAATGGAAATAAAAATTTATAAATCAGTATCTCCCATGAACAAAGATGCAAAAATCCTCAAAAATAGAAGCAAATTGAATTTAATAATATACTAAACACATCAGGACCAAGTAAGACTTATTCCAAGTATGCAAGCCTACTTCAACTGGTAGCTCAGCTGGTAAAGAATCTGCCTGTAACACAGGAGACCTGGGTTCGATCCCTGGGTTGTGAAGATCTCCTGGAGAAGGGAATGGCTACCTACTTGAGTATTCTGGCCTGGAGAATTCCATGGACTATATAGTCCAGGGGGTCGCAAAAAGCTGGACACAACTGAGCGACTTTCACTTGAAGGTTGCTTCAACATTAATGAGAATCAATGTGATCCATCCATCGCACCAAGAAGGCTTAAGAAGAAAAATTTTAAGATCAAATCTTAAGATCAAGCAGCATTCAATGAAATACAAGGTCATTCATGATTAAAACATATCTCAGGAAATGGAGATATATTCACTCAGTTTAAAAAAGAACATCTACAAAAAACCTACAACTAATAACACATCGAATGGTGAGAGCCTGAATGCTTCCCCTTAAGATTAGGAAGAAGGCATGGATGTCCAGTCTCACCATTCCTATTGTACTAGAAGTCCTACCTAACTCAATGAGGCACAAAAAGGAAATAAAACGTTCAAGATTGTGGAGGAAGAAACAGAACTTTGTTTGCAGGTGACATCATTTCTCTGTAAAAGTTTCCAAAGGACCACCCAGATCAAGATTAAAAAAAGCAACTATACAAGCAAACAGTAAACCAGAACTAATAAGCACATGAAACACACTCTTGGAATACAAAGTTCGTAAGTCAACTGCTTTCCTATAAACTGTAATGAATAACTGAAATTTTGGTAAGTGGCTAACAGTGATAAGCCATGCAAATAGTATGTTTCCATGATATGACATAATAAAAATATCTATTTCCCTATGGTTTTTGTTCCCCAAACTAAAAAGCCTGGGCTAATCTGAAAAATACTAGACAAATCCCAAACAAGGAACATTTTACAAAGAACTTGATTGGTACACCTCAAAACTGTCAAAATCATTAAAAAAAAAAAAATGACTTTCACCTTTAGGGAACCTGTGTTATCCATCCATTTTTTAAGTACTGTAAGTTATATATATATATATATATATATATATATTTAAATACTAAGCCATAAAAATTAGTGCAGTAAAATTGGTGGTCAAAAATGAGGACACTGGATTCAGATCTGAATGCAATTCCTGACTGTGGTTATTTAACCTGCCCTCCAGTTAACATTCAAACGCATCAAGGGTCTGAACTTCCCGGGACAGTTTCCTCAACCATGAGAGCTCTTTTCCTGGTGTTATGGGGAAGGAAAAATGGCACAGGGCACACACAGTTTTCAGCACATTTCCTGCTCAAAACCACTTAAACAAATTTCAATTTCTCTGAACTGTATTGACAGAAATCATATCTTTAGTTTTACTCATCTTTTTATCTCCATTATATATCTAAAAACTCTTCAGTGTAATTAGAGAATAGTTTCTATTCCTGGTACATCTGACGCATCTGTGCTATGTCAGGCACTCTGTGTATAATCAAACTAATTAAGGCTCCTGCTTCTTTATCTCATATCCCACCCGTGTCATCCAAGGCACTATATCAATCACAAAATATTCAATACTTTGACTGTATAAATTCATGTCTTTTAAATTGAAAACATAAATTTATATTTAAGAACCTCACAATTCTCTCCCATCAGCATTGACACTGTTAGGTTATGTGTCCACTGGGTATAGGAATCACACTAAAGAACCTGTGATAGAGTTTCAGACGAGTCAGTTGATGCGTGTAGCTTGGGACCCTTATCTACAAAAGACACTTTGAAGATTCGTCTCTAAGAGTCTGAAACCCCACAGGAAGGGTGTGAAGCAGCACGGCCTTAGTGCTGTTCGAGGCGCTTGGCGAGGGAAGTCATGACCGAGGCACGGCCAGCACGCACGTCCCGTTGCACCGCGGGCACGCTCACCCAGTGCTGCAGATCAAGCTCAGGGCAGAGCTAACGGCAGGATTGATGACATGGGGTGAGAGCAGAAAACACGTCTGTGAGATGAGATTTATAATGATAATCAATGGGAACTCATTTATTTTTTACTTGAAAAGTTGCTTTCAAATTAATAGGACTGGGTGCTGCACTGCTCAGAACAGGGATAATGGAAAAGCAGAAACCTACCCTATCTGACTACATGGTTTCATAAGCTGGTGAATGTGTGTGGTTGTAATGGTTCTGTGTGTTTGCATTTTTCAGCACAGTGATGTTGACTTCTGGTTTTACAAGTCAGATATGAAAATAATTGAAGTAAGTTTTTTTCCATGGGAACCGTGCTTTGAATGAATACAAAAAGTTATTGATCCATTACGAACTAATTATTTAGTTTATATGTTAGTAAGAGGTTTTAGGATATGATGAAAAAGCCCGTGCTTTGGGTTCCAACACACACAGCCTCAATACTCAGATCTAGTCCTGAGATCACTGGGATGCTGAGCCTGGGCTTTCCATCCACAGAACCAGTAAACAAGATCCAGCTCTCGTGGAATAGTTGCGAGCGTTACAACTATATCAAGTGCCCAAGCAAAAACAGGCACTCAGTAAGTGGTGATCACCTGTGGACTCTGTCCTCAATACTGTCCTTCTGGTTGCTGACCGAAGAGTGAGGAGAGAGAGACAGCAGAAGGTACAACTTGCATTAGGTTTCATCTTACACGTTCGGCAGCAGCACATTTATGTACCTTCTATACATGTAGCAGCAGTAATGCAGTGTGGTAGAATAAGGGTATAAATGTATATCACAGTGTTTGGCTTTTGTCTATATATTTTATGAGAAGCAAAAATACAGAACAAAACAATGAATTTGGTGAATTAGCTCAAGCCAGCTTCAGCATTATTAGCTGGGTAAGGCCTGAGCCTCAGGAAGAGAAGGGCCTACAGCTGATCATAGCAGGGGCCTGTGGATCTAGTCAAGGTCTAACCAGTGTCAGAGTGAGAAAAGCCCTCTCTGAGATCCATCCGGGGATCAGCCTTGATGCAGTAATGACCTGAGGGGTGCTTTACTTTCCCACAGAATCCCTGACAAGTGTGACAGCATTTCTTCATCTCTGATGGTGTGTGCTTCTAAGAGTCAAGTGTAATCATCGAGATTTTTTTTTTCTTGCCAGAGGTTGAGAAGGGAATGAGAAGCCAGACAGAAGGTAAAAGTAAATGTAGCCTAAGGTCTCAATCGCTCAGACTAAACGTAAGAAACCGCCAGGGCGAGGGAGACTGAAGTTCTGAAGAGAGGACTGGGACAGCTTTCACCCGGAGCACCTCTGCAGTGGGCTGGGCCCACTTCTCCTCTCACACTGTGCTGCGCACCCACAGCACATGGGCCTGGTCTCAGGGCAGTGTCTGCATCAGGAGG